GCTAAGGAAGCGTGCTTGCGCAGAGTTGATAGCTTCATCACTTGGACGGGGGGCAGTTGTTGTTGATTTGTCTGTGTCGAGGGAGAAGGTGTGCGCGGCGGTATCACGGCTTTTCTCGGCCGGTTGTCCAGGTTGTGCTGGTTGGGAAGAGGTTCCCGCATCGCCTTTGCGCAGGTCTTGGAGTTCTTTCTCCATAGTTGAAAGTCGAGCGAAAAGTTGCTCAAGGGCGGCAGTGCCGATCGTGGTTGTCGCCTCGTTTGTCGCAGCCAGATTGGATTGTCCTTCAGCCGTCAGATTTGCTTGGCCTCCGGATCCTCCGGCCATCTTGGTCTTGGAGCGTGTGCCGCTCGCCATATATTGGTTCGGCGAATTTCACGGAAGTGAAGTTGCGAAGAATCCATGAGTAGCTCTCATACCATGTTACAATCCCAAGAGGGACTTAGCGAAGGATCGCTCAGGATTGATCGCAGAGTAGTGTTGCAGCGGAAGTTTGAATCTCAGGTCAGAGTGAATGTAAATGACTGAGTTGATAATAGCATGCATTGTTGAAATGTATTTGTTACATTTATATACCTGCCTACAGTTGATCCTAGTGTAGCTATATGCTTCTTGTGTTGGTGGTGCACCTCCCCTCCTTTCTCCTATATGTTCTGTTTTTCCTATAGTGAAACCCCCTATTCTCGCTATCCTTTGGCACAACCTACTCGATACCCTCCTTGCCTAGGCTCCTAAGCCTAGGCATCCTAAACCTAAGTACCTCCTTAATTCAACATGCTATCAGAGCGGTTACGCTCCTGGCCTGCGGGCCCGCCTGCTTCCGCTGCCATACTGTCTGTCGCGCTCCCCGTGGCGTGCGATGTTCATTTTTTCTTCCCGCCACGCGCTCGGGGCGCGTGGCGGTTTTCTGCCCGCCATGCGCTCGGGACGCGTGGCGGTTTCCTGCCCGCCGCGCACCCTAAGCGCGCACGGCGGTTTCGCGTTCCGTCGACCCGCGCGCCCGTCCCCGTCGACCTGCGCGCGGCTCCCCGTCGCCCTTCGCGGCGGCCCCGTCGACCCGCGCGCCGCCCCCGGGGACCCGTGCTCCCGTCCCCGTCGACCCGCGCGTCGCCCTGCGGCCCCCCTCCCCGCACACCTGAGTTCTCTTTCCGCACACCCGAGTTCGCTTCCCGCACGCATGTGCACGCTTCGCGCACACCTGGGCTCGCTTACCGCACACTCAGGGTATGGGGGTGACGGGTATGGGGGTGGCGGGTGTGTGAGCCGTCCCCTGCTCCTCCTCCTCCTCCGTCTCCCACTGCTGCAGCTGCCGCTGATGGGGAGGGGGGGGGGGGGTAATGGGGGTGGCGGGAGGTAAGATGCAGCACCAGCCTGCGGCCCTTCTCTTCCCTCTCTCTCGCGCCCGTGTTTACGGCCGTGAGGGGGGGGGATAAGGGGGTGGCGGGGATGACCAGCAAATCGCCACCTCCTCACCTCTCGTCCTCTCCTCTCCTCTCCTCCAGCCGCATCTCCTCTCCTCTCCTCTTCTCCAGCCGCATCTCCTCTCCTCACCTCTCCTCTCTCCTTTCCATTTCCAGCCGCATCCTCCTCCGTCTGTTCTCCTTGCTCCAGTCGTCTCCGCCGTTGTGAGGGGGAGGTTTGGGGGGGGGGGGAGAGGTTGGAGAGGTTGGAGGGGGGTGGCCGTCGTGAAGCCCGCAGCTCCAGTCGCCAGTGGCCCGTTGCTCCAGTCGCCCGTGGGTCTGTTGCTCTAGCCGTACGAGCGGGATGCTCCAGGCGTACGAGCCCGTTACCCCAGTAGCCCGTGAGCCAGTTGCTCGAGTTGCCAGTGTGCTAGCAGCTTCAGCCGCCGCCCACCTCCTCCTATCCTCTCTCGCACTCTCTACCCTCCGTGTACCACTTCAGGGGGTGCTGTTGCACATGGTTCTCACTGTAGGCAGCTAGGGGGTGTGTTGAAATGTATTTGATACATTTATATACCTGCCTACAGTTGATCCTAGTGTAGCTATATGCTTCTTGTGTTGGTGGTGCACCTCCCCTCCTTTCTCCTATATGTTCTGTTTTTCCTATAGTGAAACCCCCTATTCTCGCTATCCTTTGGCACAACCTACTCGATACCCTCCTTGCCTAGGCTCCTAAGCCTAGGCATCCTAAACCTAAGTACCTCCTTAATTCAACATGCATACATCGAGTTTATATAAGAATACAGGGGAATACGAAAAGACCTAGACTAGCCATGTACTATAAGGGGTACATTCCCTTATTACAACCGAATTCAAACCGTGCGGCGCGGGAACCCGTTTCAAACCTGTTCCCGCCTTTTTCACTTCAAATGTTTCTGCCTGCATCGGTCTTGGTCAGACGGTTGCTGTGTCGCTTCGACTCTTCTGACTCCTCGACTTCGTACTCGGTAGAGTCGGCTCCTGCAGCATACAGGAATGCCTTCTCATAAAACTTCATATCGTAACAGGTTCTGAAAGCATGACATAGAAAATATATATGTATATGTGCAAATGTATAACAGCATAAGGTTATCTGTTTCAAATTCTTAGGTAACTGCAAAGAATACAGCTCCTGCATCCTAACCTGCGCAAGCTATTTGTGGTTTTGTTAACGGGGATGAAAGTCGCCTTCCCGCCATAATTGTTCACGAGCTCACTACAAGTTTTAAAACCGGGGGTCTGACACGAACCAGCAGAGATGTTGACCGAGGCTCGTACCATGGCATCTGTGCCATCTCGTGATTGGCTAATTGACCATACCATCCACACCATGCCATACCAATACAGGCAGTCTCATCGCCAAATCATCCATTTTCAACGCTGAGCTCACATGACTGTGCTCACAACATGGCTACTGGTTATGACACCGTAACACCTTTCGCTTACTTTCTGATGTTTCGCACATGGCTACCCTTTCCCGCGAACGGTCGCACAGCGCGCGCAGCCCAACACTGTTTCCGACGGCGCGCGCTCTAGCGCAACACTGTTCCCTCTTTCCTTCACTTTTATTGGCCGATGTTTTCCCGCTTCCCGCCTGTCAGCAGAGCCTGCCCATTCACTTCGCTACGGCTTCCCCTCGGCTTGCAGTGGCTTCCGCATGGCGAGCGACTATGCTCGTCGCTGCCTTTGCTTCCCTTTCGCTGTCTCTCGTGCATTCCACCACAGACCCTTCTGAAATCCTCTCGATTCCTCCTAACCCGCCCCTAACCCTCCAACCTCCCTTCACTTCCCTCCCCTTCCCTCTCTACCCCAATTTCCTGTCCTCCATGAGCACTTCACGAGTTTCTCGACATTCCCTAGGCAGCGTAATCTTCCGGTGTGACTCAAGTTAGTCTTGGTAACTCGGTTTCTCCGGGTCCATGGCTTCCTCCGTTGTGTGTACAGCCTTATTCATGGCTTCCTCCGTTGTGACTACAGACTTATTCGCTACCATGATGGTAGCTAAAAACTAAAATCTAATCGGACTATAGATTGGTTATAGTTCAGGATTCCGAACGCTCAGCTCTCCAAACATACCATCAGCCTGATGATTCAACCCTCAAGAGTTACGACGGTCGGTCGGTCGTTACCATCAGAGTTACAACATCGGACCTTACGCAGATTAGATTCGTTAAATTAAGAATACCGGAGGATCTCCTCCAAGCATCAGCTCCTTATGTTCGTCGAATCCATATGCTCGCTCGACTGACATTTCAGTTCATCAAATCTTATTACTGAGCGTCACGCTCTTCTTCGAGTCGAACGCGCATCAGCTCTTTCGTCAGATCTTCAGCCTGAAGCTTCCTTCCTACGCTCGTGTCGCCGGTCGTGCTTCCTACGAAGCGTTACAGCAGTTGATTTGAAATCTGAATCGATACTTCTTCCTACGACGACGCCGTCGGTCATGCGTCTTCCTCGCACATCTCGCTCGCGACGTTACGACGGATGATGAGGAGTTTCTTTTCGGCTAGTGTTACAGCATCATCGGAGTCTGAATCTTCGCAGCATCCATGGCCGACGCAGCAAGCATCAGTTGATCTCGCAACATCCATGGCCGCCTGCAATGACTACCAACGCTTGCGACGTTGAAGCTAACAATGGCGACGCACGGCGCATACCACGCGAAGACTGTTCGGACGTCCGACAATGACGAATAAGCCACTTACGGAAAAGCAAGCAGCTTCTTAATTTGACGCTAAAGCTCGCGAAGGCGTTGACGCTCGCCGCGAAGGAGGACCTCGCGACGTTACCACGAAACAACGCTTCTTCGTGAAATCGACTACGGAAGAGTCCGCGAACTTCGCGGATGGAGGGCGGAGGAGCTCGCGACGCTGGTTCTACGGAAAAGCTTCTTCGTTATTCGACTGCCGCCATCGGTCTGATCCGTAGTGCTATTCGACGCCTGATGGAGGAGCTCGCGACGCGGAACGACGCTAACGGAGGAGCTCGCGACGCTGAACGGAGGAGCTCGCGACGCCTAACGACGCTAACGGAGGAGATCGCGACGCTGAATGGCGGAGATTACGACGCTATTCGAATAGAGGTATCGCGACGCGGAACGACGCTAACGGAGGACACGTCGACGTTCGAGCCGTTTGCGTCTGACGCTTGTGGTGAGTTTTCATCCAATGCCCGATCTCTAGGCTGCGTCTTTCTCCTGGCTGCATCCAACGTTTCCTGGCTGCATCTTTCTCCTGTTGCTATTTCAGATTCGTTTCTGTTGCTATCTGGAAATTTCAGTTCACATTTCAGTTTCGTTTCCGTTGCTATCTGGAAATTTCAGTTCTCATTTCAAATTTGTTTCCGTTGCTATCTGGACATTTCAGTTCTCATTTCAGATTCGTTTCCGTTGCTATCTGGAATTTTCAGTTCTCATTTCAGATTCGTTTCTGTTCCGCCTGACCATTTCAGATTCGTTTCCATTGCGCTGCAATCTGCTCTGTCCTGGTCCGTGCAGGAGTTGGCTTCCTGGTCTTCCGTGACATGTATCATGCCAACAACTGGCGCGGAGAACCATGGAGGGTTATGGAGCCGGGTGGAGCAACGTTGTGCAGCGTGCTGCAGCGTGAAGCACCTACTCCTTCTCCTCCTCCTCCTCCTCCTCCTCCTCCTCCTCCTCCTCCTCCTCCTCCTCCTCCTCCTCCTCCTCCTCCTCCTCCTCCTCCTCCTCCTCTTCCCTTCCTTTCTCTTCCTCTCTCCACCACCTTCGGATTCCTTCTCACTCATGACGCTGCTGGAGGTGCGGAGGAGAGGAGAGGAGAGGAGAGGAGAGGAGAGGAGAGGAGAGGAGAGGAGAGGAGAGGAGAGGAGCCTGGCTGATCCTGGCGCTGCTGGAGTGCTGGAGGTGCGGAGCTCCTGGCTGTTGCGTGCAGCGGAGCAGAGGCGATGCCTGAGGGGCGATGGAGCAGAGGAGCAGAGATGCTGGTAATCTTCTTTCTTGAATTCTGCTTTCGTCATTTCGGTTTTCCAGTACTCTATCTGCCGTATTTCTGTCTTCCGTAAGTTTATTTCCCTTGTTCTGTGTACCATGTCCTGTGTGCCTTGTCCGTCCAGAAATGTGGAGGAGGGGGGCAGCAGAGAAGACAGCAGAGGAGGAGAGGAGGAGCCGAGGAGAAGAGGAGGACTGGAGGGATCATGCCAGCACTCGCTGCGACTCCAGAGAGGAGCACAAGCGTCACCTCTGCTCTTTGCTGGTAATCTTCTTTCTTGCGTTTTTCCTGTCGCCCTAGTCCTTTCTGTTTTCATTGCTTCTGTTTTCCTTCAATCTGTCTGCTTTATTTCTGTCTTCTGTAGTTCTGTTTTCCTTATTCTGTTTGCCTCGTCCTGTGTGCCCATCCAGAAATGTGGAGGAGAGGAGGGGGGCAGCAAAGGAGACAGCAGAGGAGGAGAGGAGGAGCCATGAGGAGCCGAGAAGAAGAGGAGCACTGGAGGGTTCATGCCAGTACTTGCTGCAGCGACTCCAGAGAGGAGCAGAAGCGTCGCCTCTGCTCTTTGCTGGTAATCTTGTTACTTGCCTAGTTTCTGTTTGCTGTAGATCTGTTTGCGTCGTTTCTGTTTTCCTTTGCCTCTGCTCTTCGCCTCTGCTGTTCGCACGTCTGTTTTCCTTATTCTCTTTGCCTTGTCCTGTGCGCCTTGTCCAAGCAGAATGTGGAGGAGAGGAGGAGCAGAGGAGTCAACAAAGGAGAACAAAGGAGCAGAGGAGCAGCTGATGCTTACGGACACGTTGCTGAGGTGGTCGGGCGCGTGGCTGAGGTGGACGGACACGTGGCTGAGGTGGACGGGCGAGCGCGGTGGGATGACGCACGGCCGGCAGCCACTGGCGTGTGGCTGCCTCTACCCGCCCTGCTGACCACGGTCGAGGAGCATTGGAGTCTCGTGGGCAGCAAAGCAACTGGGAAGTGTCTTTCCCCTCGCCTTCCCTTCTCGTCACCCACCCTCCATTCGTTTCGTTTCGCCATTCCGTGTTTTCCGCACCTCGTTCGTTCTTCACTCCATCGTCCCGCACTTCGCGTTTATGCACGTCCCTCTGATACGTTCGGCTGCAGCCTAGTAGATGTCCTCCGCGGGTTTTGGGTAGCATAGATTTCGGGTTGGGTAGCATAGAGTTTGGGTTTTGGTTAGCATAGCTCCTCCCTCTGCTAGCTGCAGCTGGCGTATCATGGACGTGCATCCATCCCACCACCTCGTTTCCTTGTGTTGTTCTCCGCTTTCAATTTCTCACTTCGTTTCCGCTTTCAATTCTGCATTTCGTGTGTTTGTTTTGCTTTCTTTTTCGTTTAGCAGTTCTGTTTACTGACTTCGTGCTCTAGTCTGTGTGTTGCCTCCCCCTGCTTTTCAGCAACCATGGGTTCTTCACTCGGGAGGAGCAGAGGAGCCTGCAGAGGACGGCAGCAGTGACTCGGGAGGCAACAGCAATGAGAGGGAGAAGCGAGGGGTGGGATGACGCACGGCCGGCAGCCACATGGCTGCCTCCTACCCGCCCTGCTGACCACCCGCTCTGCTCGAGGCGGGCACTTCGGGCAACGAGCCGGCGCGGAGGCAAGGAGGCGGTACTTCAGCAGAGGTGTAGTGCGGTGTGGAATGGTATGGTGCGGTATGAGGAGGAGGCGGACACTTCGGGCAACGAGCCGGCGCGGAGGCAAGGAGGCGGCACTTCAGCAGAGGTGTAGTGCGGTGTGGAATGGTATGGTGCGGCATGAGGAGGAGGCGGACACTTCGGGCAACGAGCCGGCGCAGAGGCAAGGAGACGGCACTTCAGCAGAGGTGTAGTGCGGTGTGGAATGGTATGGTGCGGTATGAGGAGGAGGCGGACACTTCGGGCAACGAGCCGGCGCGGAGGCAAGGAGACGGCACTTCAGCAGAGGTGTAGTGCGGTGTGGAATGGTATGGTGCGGCATGAGGAGGAGGCGGACACTTCGGGCAACGAGCCGGCGCGGAGGCAAGGAGGCGGCACTTCAGCAGAGGTGTGTAGCACTTCAGGTGAGGAGGCAAGGAGAGGCAGCACTTCACTCAAGATGGCTTCTTCACTCAAGAGCGGAGGCGCCTGCAGAGGAGCAGGTGTAGTGCTGTGTGGTATGGAGTGGTCTGGTATGGTGTGGTTTGTGTGGTGTGGTGGAGCGAGGAGGACGGGCGAGCGCGGTGGGATGACGCACGGCCGGCAGCCACTGGCTTGTGGCTGCCTCCTACTCGCCCTGCTGACCACCCGCTCAAGGCAAGGAGGACACTTGGGGCAAGGAGGTAAGCACGTGACTCTTGGGGCTCGAGGCAAGGAGGTCACTTGGGGAATGGAGGAGGAGGCAACCAGGCGGCACTTCAGGTGAGGGGACGAGGTGGCAAGTTGGCGGCACTTGAGACGAGGAGGCGGCACTTCAGGCGAGGAGGCGGCACGTCCGGCAAGGGGTGAGGCGGAGGAACGTGAGGGAGTGGTTGATGGGTTGGACGAGTGGATGCATGGAGGGGGATGCAGTGGAAAGTGGAACGGAGAGTAGCGGTGGGACGTGTTGAGGCGGAGAGGGTGGTGCCACTGTCTCTCGTAAGTCCTCCTCACGGCTGGCCCCGCTCATCGCTGCTCCTCGTCTTCTTTCTTCAGCACCGCCCTCCCTGCACCTCCTCTTCCAGCTTTGACGCCCAACCTGACCTGCACTCCGTCCTCATCCCCTTCCCACCGTCGAGGAAGGCGCACGGGGAGTCTACAGCGTCATCGACATTGTAAGTCTCTGGTTTTGGTGTGGAGTGGTGTGGAGTGGTGTGGTGTGGTGTGGTGTGGTGTGGCAGCTTGGAGGGTCAACACCATCACCGTCATGTAAGTCTCTGCTTTGGCAGGTCGGCGGGGGAGCAGCAGCTTGGAGGGTCAACACCGTCACCGACATGTAAGTCTCTGCTTTGGCAGGTCGGCGGGGGAGCAGCAGCTTGGAGGGTCAACACCGTCACCGACATGTAAGTCCCGTTTCCAGTTTTTTGCATCTTTGTTGCCTACGTGGTAATGTCGTCTGGTTTTGTTTAGCCAGGGAGGAGTGGCAGGAGCGGAGCAGAGCAGCAGAGGAGGAACAGGAGCAGACGCTTCTGCTCTTCTCTTGTAAGCCTCTTTTCTCACCTTGATTTTTGTTGCATTGTTTTTGTGTGCATTGAATCTTTTCAGCCATGTGTGATATCTTGGCAGTAGGTCCGCTAGTGCATTTCTAGGCTGAGTTTTTGTGACTCTGTGTCTTCCCGTTTCACAGAGGAGATGCAGCAGAGGCAAGGAGGGGGAGAGGAGAGGAGGGGAAGAGGGGAGGAGGAACAGGAGCAGCCGCTTCTGCTCTTCTCTTGTAAGTCTCTATTCTCGCCTTGATTTTTGTTGCATTGTTTTTGTATGCATTGAATCGTTTCAGCCTTGTGTGATATCTTGGCAGTAGGTCCGCTAGTGCATTTCTAGGCTGAGTTTTTGTGACTCTGTGTCTTCCCGTTTCACAGAGGAGATGCAGCGGAGGCAAGGAGGGGGAGAGGAGAGGAGGGGAAGAGGGGAGGAGGAACAGGAGCAACCGCTTCTGCTCTTCTCTTGTAAGCATCGCCTTGTATTTTTGTTGCATTGTTTTTGTATGCATTGAATCTTTTCAGCCATGTGTGATACCTTGGCAGTAGGTCCGCTAGTGCATTTCTAGGCTGAGTTTTTTGTGACTCTGTGTCTTCCCGTTTCACAGAGGAGATGCAGCAGACGCGAGGAGGGGCAGAGGAGAGGAGGGGAAGAGGGGGAGGAGGAACAGGAGCAGCCGCTTCTGCTCTTCTCTTGTAAGCCTCTTTTCTCGCCTTGATTTTTGTTGCATTGTTTTTGTATGCATTGAATCTTTTCATCCATGTGTGATATATTGGCAGTAGGTCCGCTAGTGCATTCCTAGGCTGAGTTTTTGTGACTCTGTGTCTTCCCGTTTCACAGAGGAGATGCAGCAGAGGCGAGGAGGGGAAGAGGAGAGGAGGAACAGGAGCAGCCGCTTCTGCTCTTCTCTTGTAAGCATCGCCTTGGTTTTTTGTTGCATTGTTTTTGTATGCATTGAATCGTTTCAGCCATGCGTGATATCTTGGCAGTAGGTCCGCTAGTGCATTTCTAGGCTGAGTTTTTTGTGACTCTGTGTCTTCCCGTTTCACAGAGGAGATGCAGCAGAGGCGAGGAGGGGAAGAGGAGAGGAGGGGAAGAGGGGAGGAGGAACAGGAGCAGCCGCTTCTGCTCTTCTCTTGTAAGCCTCTTTTTTCGCCTTGATTTTTGTTGCATTGTTTTTGTATGCATTGAATCTTTTCAGCCATGTGTGATATCTTGGCAGTAGGTCCGCTAGTGCATTTCTAGGCTGAGTTTTTGTGACTCTGTGTCTTCCCGTTTCACAGAGGAGATGCAGCAGACGCGAGGAGGGGCAGAGGAGAGGAGGGGAAGAGGGGAGGAGGAACAGGAGCAGCCGCTTCTGCTCTTCACTTGTAAGCCTCTTTTCTTGCTTTGATTTTTGTTGCATTGTTTTTGTATGCATTCAATCGTTTCCGCCATGTGTGATATCTTGGCAGTAGGTCCGCTAGTGTATTTCTAGGCTGAGTTTTTGTGACTCTGTGTCTTCCCGTGTCACAGAGGAGATGCAGCAGAGGCGAGGAGGGGCAGAGGAGAGGAGGGGAAGAGGGGAGGAGGAACAGGAGCAGACGCTTCTGCTCTTCTCTTGTAAGCCTCTTTTCTCGCCTTGATTTTGTTGCATTGTTTTTGTATGCATTGAATCGTTTCAGCCTTGTGTGATATCTTGGCAGTAGGTCCGCTAGTGCATTTCTAGGCTGAGTTTTTGTGACTCTGTGTCTTCCCGTTTCACAGAGGAGATGCAGCAGAGGCGAGGAGGGGAAGAGGAGAGGAGGAACAGGAGCAGCCGCTTCTGCTCTTCTCTTGTAAGCATCGCCTTGTTTTTTTGTTGCATTGTTTTTGTATGCATTGAATCGTTTCAGCCATGTGTGATATATTGGCAGTAGGTCCACTAGTGCATTTCTAGGCTGAGTTTTTGTGACTCTGTGTCTTCCCGTTTCACAGAGGAGATGCAGCAGAGGCGAGGAGGGGCAGAGGAGAGGAGGGGAAGAGAGGAGGAGGAACAGGAGCAGCCGCTTCTGCTCTTCTCTTGTAAGTCTCTTTTCTCGCCTTGATTTTTGTTGCATTGTTTTTGTATGCATTGAATCTTTTCATCCATGTGTGATATCTTGGCAGTAGGTCCGCTAGTGCATTCCTAGGCTGAGTTTTTGTGACTCTGTGTCTTCCCGTTTCACAGAGGAGATGCAGCAGAGGCAAGGAGGGGGAGAGGAGAGGAGGGGAAGAGGGGAGGAGGAACAGGAGCAGCCGCTTCTGCTCTTCTCTTGTAAGCATCGCCTTGGTTTTTTGTTGCATTGTTTTTGTATGCATTGAATCTTTTCAGCCATGTGTGATACCTTGGCAGTAGGTCCGCTAGTGCATTTCTAGGCTGAGTTTTTTGTGACTCTGTGTCTTCCCGTTTCACAGAGGAGATGCAGCAGAGGCGAGGAGGGGCAGAGAAGAGGAGGGGAAGAGGGGAGGAGGAACAGGAGCAGCCGCTTCTGCTCTTCTCTTGTAAGCATCGCCTTGTTTTTTTGTTGCATTGTTTTTGTATGCATTGAATCTTTTCAGCCACGTGTGATACCTTGGCAGTAGGTCCGCTAGTGCATTTCTAGGCTGAGTTTTTGTGACTCTGTGTCTTCCCGTTTCACAGAGGAGATGCAGCAGAGGCGAGGAGGGGCAGAGGAGCGGATGCTTTTGCTCTTCTCTGGTAAGCCTCTTTTCTCGCCTTGCTTTATCGCCTTGCTTTTCTCCCCAACTCATGCCTTGCTTTCTCGGGAAGCTCACTGCTGTTTTATCCTTCCCATCTTTTTACAGGAAGACCGAAGACTGAAGACCCCCCCTCCCCCCCCCCCGCCCTCCCCTCCTCTCCCCTCTCCTCCCCTCCCCTCTCCTCTTCTCCCCTCCCCTCCCCTCCCTTCCCCTCTCCTTCCCTCCTCTCCCCTCCCCTCCCCCCCTCCCCCTCCCCTCCCCTCCCCTCCCCTCAGGTTGATATGCATAGCATGCGTGGGGAGCACTGAAGTGAAGACCCCCAACTGGGGCATCAGGTGGTGTGCGGCAGGGGCTGCTGACGGCGTTAGGGCTGGCCCCCCTAACGTCCGAAGCACCCCTGTGTGTGAGTGAATGCTCTGATGACTGAAGGGGGGACGCTCCCTAAAGATGTCACATGATGAGCCTCACTCACCCCGCCTCCACCTGGGCCAGGCTTTGCCTGGTTTGAGCGGGGGCTTGTGGGACGCTTCATGCCCTCTGCTCGTGCCTCTCCGGGGCTGCGGAGTGGAGGTGGACTGCACGGCACGCCAGCAACGGTCGTCGGTGGTGGTGGGTTTTGTAAGTGTAGGTGCTTTCCACGCTTTCCTTGCTTGTACGGTATTTCTTCGCTGTTTCCTTGTTTGTTGCTTCTTCGCTATTTCCTAGTTTGTTGCTTGTTTTTCTTCGCTATTTCCTTGTTTGTTTCCTTGTTTGTTGCTGTGCTTGCTTGCTTGCTTGCTGTTTGCTGCTAACCCCCCGTGGTCCCCATGCAGGTCCCACACGAAGGGTCCCCACCTCAACGTGGTGTGTGGGTGTAACACTAGGGGTTAACCCCCCTAGTGGCCAAGAGGGGCCCAGAAGACCGAAGAGAAGACCATGGCGCACTTTATTAGCAATGATGATTGTAGATTTAGATAATTGCCTGAATAATGACAGATCTGCTTAGGTTAGGGATCAAACAAAAACGTCTCAGCATGGACATTTGAAACTAGGTACCGGTAGCTTAACGTGCTCCAGAGAAGCACATGGCGCAACATAGCTGATGAACAGAATTATTACCAGTGTATGCACAAGGACATATGATACATACATTTATTTCATGCAGATAAAGCAACAACATGCAACAGAGATAAAACTCCCTGTCATGGGACAATGCTTCTTGTGTTGCTACTTCTGGCAATGCTGTGTGCTGCTGAGGCATAACCACCAGACACTCGTGGGAAGTCCCTACCTACCAACACGGTAACAGCATGATGAAGTGTGAAAGATTGCTTTCTGTTGTGCTGAGATGCTAAGGAATGGCTGTGCTGTCTGCTGTTCTGTTTGAAATCAGAATCAGTAATAAAAGAGGAGCATATGCATCACTGTACTTCCAGGTGTCACTACTTGGCGCAAGCCTAGACCGAATTGCAGTGAGTTCCAAACTGACTCCGTTTAAGCAACACACGCAGCTCCCCTAACGAGCAAATGGAGACGCGGCCCCAGCCCATAAAATGTGGGCTTACTTTTCCTGCAAATGATCTCCCATTCCATCACAGTATCCCTCCCTAAGCAATGCAAGCAATGCCTGCCAGCTGAAACGTTGCATGGTCCCTTTAGCTGATCACATGCGTGCAGTGCTTGGCTGGCAACGACGAGCACATCATTCAACCTCCTCACCCCACTCAACCGCATCAAGAGTCGTTCAGCCGACCATGAGCTGATCGCATGCCTGCAGTGCTTGGTTAGCAAAGAAGCGCACATCTGGGTCTGGGTCCTCGTTCAGCTCAAACAAGGCTGGCCGAATGCTCTGCTCCACAATCTGTAAAGCGCAACAAATCAAGAAGAGAGGGAAATGAGACAGATTCAGGGAGTGAAAGAAGCGCACATCTGGGTCTGGGTCCTCATTCAGCTCAAACAAGGCTGGCCGAATGCTCTGCTCCACAATCTGTAAAGCGCAACGAAACAGGAAGAGGAGAGAGAAATAAGAGAATTAGGGTGTTAAAGAAGCGCACATCTGGGTCTGGGTCCTCGTTCAGCTCAAACAAGGCTGGCCGAATGCTCTGCTCCACAATCTGGGCATGTTCCATACACAACGAGAAGAGGGAAATAGGAAAAAATCAGGTTGTGAGGGAAGCACGCATCTGGGT